ACGATGGACTTAATGTTTATGCAGTTTAAGGAAAGTAACTTACTGTGTTTTAAAGCTGCTTTGATTCATTGTAATGCCCTCTGGAACCTTGTCTATGTATTTTGGCAGATTTTATAGAAGTTGTAGTGCTTGTTTAGCCGATTGGAGGAATTTTGTTGGTTTTTGAATCTCTTGTGATGTAAAGTGAGACGTTTGTTTTATTTTTAAATGATTTTAACACATTTGGTGCCTCTTAAACGTGATTTGAAGTATTTGACTATTATTCTTGAGTATTTTTAATACAGCGTATTTTATAATTAAATTAATAAGTCAAATATTTTCCTATTCTTTGAACATCTTTTTCTAAAGAGAACTTTGTAACTATTAGGGTAGCACAGCATATTAAAAATTTCTCCATTGATATAATTTATGGTGAAAGTGAGAGACAGTCCTAATTCTATCTTCGAAATCCGTGATTATCTTGCGGAAAATAGTCCCGGAGTATAATATCCTTAGCCCCACCGCAAACCTCCTTGGCCAACCAACACTCTCCGGTCGACTAGCACTAGCGGAGCTGGCGTGATCGTAGATATATTACGGTCAACATGGCGGGCGATTTCCCTAAATCATCCCTTCATAGGCCTATGATCCTGACAGGATTAGTCGAAGAAACTTCTGGCAGCACGCGCTGCCCGTGCGGCCACAAGGCGGTTACCAAGGACGAGATGCTAATGAACACGATATCGGGAAGTTTCGGTTAGATAATTAGTCAAATATGTATGAGAAATATGAGGGTTCTGTCGGGAATACTCCAGGATAATTGATGGATTAATATTTTTGTCCGCAACAGACGTGTTATCATGTTCCATCCATCTTCATTTTTGCTTATGATCATTTTTTTGATAAAACTTGTAGTTTTTCAGATATTCGCGAAAAATGCCTCATACATTTTTTGGGCTAAAAACGAACATGTTTAGGCGAAAATAACTCAAAAAATTCTTATGGAACATTTTTTGCTTAGAATTTCTCCATCTTTCAAATCGTGACGTTATTTTTAATAAAGAATTCCCATCCTCCAGAAGGGGTGGTATCCAGCCCTAGGGTAGAAGCACACATCGGCACTATATAACTTTTGTTTTTTGGGCTATTCCCTAGCTACAGTTCAAATTTCACGTCAATCCATTCCATCCGAAAACAATTGATGATCAGATCCTCAGTTATTTGATGAAAAATTATAAATATATTATTGAATGTTATTAGTAATATCACAGACAAAATAGCTATGGCGATACGTTATATTGTCTGTGGTAATATCGTTTAGCCTTTGCCTAATAACAATCTTTTGTAATTTGGCTATTGCGGGTCTGTGAGATATACCTTGACAGTTTATGCACTATTTTGAATAAGGTATGTTGCTTTAACATTGTTTTTTTTTTAAATTTATGATGAAAATAAATTTACTCAAGCCTTGCACGAACTTACTGCACAGAGTAGGTATACTAACTAAAGTGATCTGGTATACGAAATTTTTATTACAAAACTTTTTCCTAATTAAACCTTCACCAACTATTAATACATCAAACAAGTTCCGCGTTGTTTTCGTCTTCGGCTAATTTTTCCCTATTAGGTTACCGGAAGTTTGCTTGAAGTTTCAGATAAATTAGTTCTTGCAGTCGCAGACAAACAGTTCCGCGGAGCTCTCGACGAACTAGCGAAAGAATGATGTTAACGGTAGTTGGGAACTTCCCAGTTGAATTACAACTATTTCGTAGTAATCTGGATATATCTGGGGTCTCTGTGAGAGCTATGGTGCCGCCGGTGGGTAAATAACCCTGTAGCTTCCAAAATGCCCTGTTAGAACAAGTTTTAGTCCTGATGGTACAAATAAATGATGCAGTTTTGTCATAAGGTGAAAAAACTTAAGTATATTTTTTTTCACGCTTAAACTTTAAAAAAGTACGACCAATATAATCAAACTGTAACAATGGGGGGCAGTTTTTTTCGAATATGTCACAAAGTTCGGCGGGCTACGAGGGGTTCTTGTTCTTCGAAGTTTTTAGGGTAGTTTTCTGGCTTACTAGTACACGCATGCATGAGTTTAATACGATAAATTTAGATGTTCATTTCCTCCGTTCCATGGCACTTTACTGCACGAATTTGCATGAAATCCGGATGCATGTACGTATATATAAGTTTAACAGCCCAACTACGGACGTATTTAATAGTTTCGATTTCTTGCATTGCCAGTTTATGTGTAAAATTAAGTATGTACAGCTGAATAACTTTATATGTACATGCACGTAGTCCCACAAGATTTACAATTGTAAAACTAAAAAGTCAATAACAATCTAATAAAACTCATAAGATGCTTTTACCTTCTGATGTCTCGTGTACATTTTTACATATCCGCAGTGTTGATTTTACAAATGTTCTTTGCAGCTTTTTAATGTAATTCAGTGACACCCCAAACCATTGACTACTCTCCTTACATTTTCCGTCGAAGGACACCAAAGACAGTTTCCAGCAGGTGCCGGACCTGCGAGGAATATTAATCAATACCAAGTCAGAAACAGGACTGCGTCGTCCAATATTTTTTGTTTCGGATAGGACCCTTATCTGCATAGCAGGGATGACAAGACATCGAAGCTGCGAAGCGATGTAGACAAGTGATTGTCTCGAGGGTGCCTCCTGCCCGAGCCAACTGGGACCTTTGAAGATTTTGCACCAGATAACTTTGATCGACTTTCATAACCGCAACGACGGTGATGTTGAGGAGAGATCGAGTGGAAGGTGGGTGAAATACGCACTTTTCTTTCCAAGAATGGAGATCGTAGAATAAATCTGTAAGGAACGAGGAAGAATAACGTAAAATAGGTAAAGATATTTCATTTTCGGCAGGCTTTCTCGAGTGTTACAGGATTATAAACCGAATTAGATGAAATCCGTAAGATGAGTATGTTATGGTACAGGCTGCTGAAAGAAGGGTAAATAAATATAACAATACGTAGTGCTCATCAAAATAAAAAAATACCGTCCGCGAGAATAACAAATCAACACGATGTCGACTTTCTATAACCTTATGGAGCCAATAATAAAATACATTGGTTTAGATTGGTCCAATTATACGAAGTATATCATTATGCAATAATATTTTGCAATGCTTTTCCTATGAGGAACCAATAGACCAAAATATTCACAATTTTTAAGTACACTGCTTGTTCATTATTACAATATTTAATTGATAACGTTAAGACCACAAATTCTATTCATTGTAGCTTCGTTAAATAAACTGCAATATTAAAAAACGCGTAAGCTTTTACCACATCGTTAAAATAAATGTTGTGCCGAATAAAATTTAACAGTTATCCGTTTCATCGGTAGCTAATCCCTGTTTTTGTTTCAATTATCGTTGTTGAAAAACTTTCATGTGACAATTTTTGACGTATCTGTAAATATACAACATTAAATTCAACAAAAATATGTACATACAAACACATTTTTTCCACCATTTTTTCGATAAAAAAACACAGAAGTGTGCATCGAAATTCGACAGCGACAATCAAAAGCGCGACTGTTATTCGCGCTTGTACAATCGTCAGTTTCGCGTTTGTTTCATTTTGGAACAATTAACTTGGCACAATAAATTAATATGTAAAGCTTTCAATTTTCATTTATCCAGTAGCGATATTAATTAATAACGCGAGTATGAGGTATATGCTCGTAAACAGCACGCAGACAGTACATTGTTATTGTTTTACCCCAACCCTAACCATAAATGATCGTCAGCGACACCTTGTTTACGTTTAAGGGCTTCAAACGTGCCTTGTCGAAATTTAACTCAAATACAGGGGAAGAGATAGTGAGTCGGTTTGAGGAATGAATCAGATCTCTAAAATTTTACCACAAAAGTTAAGCACTTGAGATGTAATTCCTGTATATATGTTTGTTTTAAATGACCGCTATAACTTATGAGCGGATTGTCACTGATGCTAAATTTGACATCCAGTGATAAAACAAAGCACTATCTATCTATATGCACCGATTACTCCATAAAATATTGATTTTACTCTCGATTATGCAGCATTCATCTTCAGCAAAATTTGAATAATCCCACTCCTGATTCCGGACGGAATCGTAGTTTACGTTCGCAATTACTTTATCTACTAAAACGCTCTTGAAGTCGTCCGATCGAACGCGGCAGAACTCAAACTGCGACATATGAATTGGTGAAAATTAACTTGTGTTGATTTTCCTTTCGAGCTCGCCGTTTTTAGGAGCGAGTTGAAGACTGCACAATTATGGAGAGCAATTCAGGGTAGAAGTGCACCGTAACCGGAATGAGATGTAGCAATTCCTCGACCCCTTGCGAGGGAGATGTTCATTATTTCGATTTTCGTCGGCGACGGCTTAACCCCAAAGGACGAGACAGGGTAATGGGAATGAGTACGAACCGCGTCGCGAATTTCGGAAATACAATGAATCTCATTACATAAATATTGGGGAAGCGGTGGATTTTTGGTTGCTGCTACCGGGACGACAACTGCTGGAAATACGGTAGATTTTACCTATTCCCATTTGAAGATGTTTCAACTCCGATAACTAATAAATTTCTTAAATGGTTTATATATTTTTTGGCACTTTGTTACTTTATTTTTCAAATGTAGTGGGCAAACTTTTCTTTAAATGCATTTTTTATGTTTATATTATTTTATTTCTCTTAATGTGGTGTTGAAACATAATTTTCCTACCTTTTTTTATTGCAGTACACTAATTGTGTTACTCCTGATGTATTTTCTTCTCTGATTTTTTTTTGGATGATCTTTAAAGTCTTCGTATTAAGAGTTGTATACATTCTTGTTTATTATTTTGACGACATTTGACGTTTATTTTCTTCCATTTCTTCTGCAACATTTGTGAATTTATAACGTTACCTTCTATTATTCAAAGCACGATGGTTTTCCGGCTTTACGTTCATTTCCTTTTTCAGAAAATGGTTCTCCAAGACGTTCCGTAGTTGTCACTGGAACTGGTCTCATCCAATCGTTCCAAACGTTTCGTCAATCTTCCTCAGTCGCGCTGAAGCTTTTCCAGAGGTAAGGTGAACCAAATTTCATTTTAATCAGATTATAGATTTTTGGAATATGACAAAAGATGTTCATAACTAATCATATTGGGCGAAACGTCTACTCTGCCTCATCCAGTATTGAATGTTTTGATGTCCTGTACCTCGAAAACTAAGAATTAATATATATTTTCGAAAATATTCCATACATACTGATTTGTTAAAAATAATAATAGTCTTAAAATTCAGTTCAATGTAGATCAGAATCGTTATCTTCCATAGAAAAAAGAGAAAACTTCTTGCATTTAGTGATTACAAAAATCTATTTATAAACTTAACATCTGCTTCTTCAAATAAAATAATTTACATTCCTAAGAAAAATAGGATTAAGTCTTTGCTGCATAATGACAGGCATTTCTAACTTTCCGCATTATCAGGGAAGTGAATGTATACGTTAACTGTAATAGTCAAAGTTCTCTTCCAAGTTTAAGAAGTAAATAACCTAGATAAAATTAGTCGCCCCATAAAACAAATTTATACCATTCGGATTCAATGTGACTAATTCTTAACTCGGTCTTGCACGTAAACAAAATGGAATAATTACTAAGTATTAAAAGTTTAGGTAAATAGTAGTGAAATTACTTTTGTTTGGTAGAAAATATTTTGATCATATGTTCCTTATTCTTCGAGAACTTTATTTTCCTTCTTATAACTAATTAGAAGAAGAAAGCATCAAACATTAGAGAGTACATAACATTTTTTCAAACAGTCCGATAAATAAATTTACTTGCGAAGCTTCATCGGGAGCAGAATTAGAATACCAAATTCACATAGCATTCTGGATATCCGGCACAAATTGCATCGACCACATTTTGACAGATCGCATTCGATTCAGGATCTAATAACTACATGTGTTACGTAGGTTGTTACTTCAGAATCAAACACAATAAAACTACAAATCTACCATAAATAAATTGATAAAACTGTGGTTTTATAACACAAATTAGACAGTAAGTGTCTTTAATGTCATCGGTTTAGACTTTTCGAAACACATGACTTTCTTCTTCAAAAAAAAAAATCTGAAACCCGGAAAGTACTATTGTAGGGGTCGATGAGACCTCTGCAGATGGTAAATTTTATCAATCGCGCTGGAATGTACTGTTTTCTTTTGGAATTCAAGAAAAGTGAGTTATATGGAGCTTCTGTTTCTCAGGAGACAAAGGACCAAGAGACCTTTCAGGTATTGCAGATGCCACAAATGTAAGCTACTACAGGTGCTTTAACCTAAGTCCCCAATGTGGTAAAAATTACCCAATGCAATCGCATTGCTGAGACTTCCATTATAAATCAGCAGCTCAGATCAAAATAGACAAACATAGTTATGATACAGCAATCCTGGTGACGAATGGTTCTATCAACGCCTTTGGTAGCAAAGAGGCAATCTCAAAGGTGACGTCTGTAGGAAGAGGTTTTTTACTTTCGTTTGTTCCTACGGCTCTAAGCTACGAGATTGGCAGAAGCTTTAATTCTTCAATGAATCAGTTATGCATCCTCCATGGAATCGAACAGTTTTTATGAAACTGGGATAGAGAGTCCAGCTGTGTGCATTGAAGTAACCAACATTGAAGTCTGGGAAGATATTGGAGGAAGCTTCAACGAATTCTTTGGTGTGCTACCTTGACGAAATCACTACCTTTAAAGAAATAGCACTCAGGGCCCAACGTCTATTCAAGAGCCTTGTTTTGCAAAGCAAACGGTTGGTTTTGGAGGTGCTTTGGAAGCAAGAATTTAAAAATAATGAGGAGGAACCACGTATCCAGGATAATGCTCTCAGACTTATACCAACAAAGAGGTATTAAGACACCAACACATTTTAAGTATACATCAGAATTACTAATTTACTAACTCAGCATTTTCCTGTTGGAAATGCACAAGTTGTCGCGTGATTGTTTGTACCGCAGTTTCGGTTTTCTCGGAGTAAATTTAGGTATATTGATTGGAACGTACGAACCGAATCACAGATTCCACCTGACTAATACAGATATTTGCGACATGTTACCTCGTTTATTTCCGTACGGAGCAGTTCACACACGGAGAGCCATTTTATTTTCGCTGACTATATCGCAACGCAACATGAATATCGAGGAGGCTCCGGTACGTGGGTCGCCTCTTTAAAAAGTACAATCGTGCGCCAAAATAACTTATGACTTTCCCGTATCTCACTTATAAAGATAACTTTTCCATTTCTATGCCAAACAGTCGGCGTCACTGTAATTTTACGTAATTTGTGGGGATCGTTTCCAAGGAACGAAGTACAAAAATCGTTTAAATCCTGTATACATGAAATATTGGATATGAGAAATAATTTTTCGTAAAAAATGTGGACTTATTTGTTTGAAGGGAATATATAATATTTGCTTCAAACCCGCACATAAGTTTCCCGGAGCGCGATGGGAGGTGATAAAGCATGCGATAATTGTCGGGGAACTGCAGAATCAGCTTTACCTCTTTCAGACTCGGTATCCTTCGTCGAGTGGGCCCTCGACTCGAAAGGAGAAAAAAGGGAAAAGCTGCATCCCTGATAAATAGCGCCATTTGTAAATGACTTCAAAGCTTTGATCCTAATTTCAGTCACAAAGTACTCGAAAAATTCCTCTATTTATAACGTAAAGTGCCGCTTCAAGGGGCCAGCTCCTTCCGTAAGGGCTTTAATTTTATTTATTGCTCGTAGGGCCTGGCCGATGATATTTATTGGTAGAGGTATTGTTGTTTTACTGCTTATAATATCGTGTGCTGCGTCAGGACTGTTAAAAATGTTTCAGAACGACCTATTTCCGAGATATTTATGTGCGGAAAGGGCGGTTTCGAGGGTTAACATCCGTTTTGTTTTTCTTTATGGAAATGTTGGGTTTTACGAGTGAATGACAATTTTTTTATTATTATGGTTTCCCGCTCCTCTTCTGGAAGGGGAAGCACAACGCATCAACGAATATCTGTCAGTAGGGACAACTCAACCACCTTAAAATTCAAGGGAACTTTATTACTTCTCCTTAAAATCCTCGAAAAAATTTAGATCGATAGATCTAAATAAGATTAACTGAGACAAACATTACCGCCTCCAATGATAGAGCAAATCGAGAAGAAAACTTAATTTCCTAATTTTTTTTTAGCCGAGGGTAGCGCTGCCGGGGACAGAAAGCAATCGCGAATCATTTCCGCATTTAAGCGGGAATAAAAAGTTTTAATACGTGCCGCCAGTTGCGGGCCTTGTTTTCTTTCTCGATTTTGCGGGGCGCGTTATAAATGATGGGGATTTAAAGTTTCTCGGTCCGAGGCAGAGTGGGGGATTAGATAAAAAATGGCTGACAATGGTTCCCATTATACGGCAGAGCAAGTTTTAATTACGAGTCGTATAACAAATATACCCCACCGACTCAAACAGACAAACACACACATGCACATGAACGTACAATTTTTTAGACGAGCATACAATGAGAGAAGGGTTTATTGAAAAATATCGTTTATCTGTGACGTAATCATCCCAGCATAAGTCAGTCAGTTCTGGAACCAAATACTGTAAATGTTCACTCGACTGTCAACCTTCTACAGGTAGAAAAAAAGTCATAATTAACACAATACAATTCAATAAATAAGAGATCTGCGCATTTGCATCATCGGTAAATTGAATAATTAAACAAATAGATTAAACAGAGAACCGGGTCAACAACTGATCCTTGTGGTACTCTCGCGTTAACAAGACGTGTTGCCTATTGCCGAGGTATGAACGATATGCAAATAGGATAGGTGAATTATATAAACTAACCAGCTAATGAAAAAATTAATTCGTCGTTCAAAAAACTTTTCTACGCCAATTTTTCCTAGGAATTTCGCTCATTATTTAATACGACAAAAAAAAGAATTAATTTATTTACGTTTTCAAGAGTTTTTTGTTAGATTCGACTAGTTTCCCCGCCAGCATCAGTCTTATTGTAATTCATGGGCACCCTAGATGGGAAAACTTTCCACTGACCCGATTACGTTGATATAAAAAAATAGTTCCAACGCTCCAACCCCCGAAGACGTTTGTCAGCGTTCAGAGAATTCCAATTAATAACGTTGGCTGCGGCGGTGCTGGAAACACGGAACGGTGTCAATTTCAGTGTCTCTGAAACGCGACAAAAAAGCCTCCTCGTTCGCGTACACGCAAACTGTGCAATTTGTCGATAATTCATCCCGCGGATGCATCGCGCTCGTCGCCTGAATGCGGTGGATGAACCAACCCGACCATCCAACTGCTCTATTGATTTTGTGACATTTCAACTCAGCCAACATGGTGAACTATTAAGAACGCTCTCGAAGTGTGTAATGTGATTACCAGCCTCCTTCGTTAGGTGTTATAATTTCCTTAAGTAACGTCAATTAATTATGTACGTGTTTGGAACAGAACTGCGATAAGTGGTTTAGTAAAGTCCCCGAAAACACCTCGTCATGAAATTCGCAGAGGATTTCAGCTTTAGTGAAAGGATTCTGTTGATGAGAGTACTCTTGTTCAAAAAAATATCTCGACATTGCTTCAAAATAGCTTTAAATTGTGTTTCATTACATACAAATAACTTTGTAATATTTTTGAAAACGTTATCCAAATTTTTTTATGGTACAACCGTTCGCATTTGTAATTTTAAGAAAATGAAATCAATATATCAATTTTTCTGGAGTTCTGGTTATATAAGTGCAAGTGGTCAAAGTCGACGTTTGATCACCATTCTAACGAGAATATTTCGAAATCGAGAATCTACGCTGCCCTCAAACGACTGTCTTCTGGTGTTTCTCCTCCGGAGGACGACGTTGTCTGGTGTGGCTTCTCGGTCTTCCCTAAATTCGAAATTTTTATTCAATTTTCGTGTTCTCTGCAACGTCTCGATCATCAGAGTGATTTCCTGTGCAGGGCGGATCGACTTTTGGATTGGAAAGTGTGACGAAATATGATTGCAACTGAGGTAGTCCAAAGTTGATTATGTTGTTATGAAGCAG